TAGTTCTTGGCCTTGAAACTGCCAAAACTTTCGGGCTTATTATTTTACAATTTTGGTGTAATCATATTCTGATAGGTAGAGCAAATGTTTGATGAAAGTAGGATGAAAAAAATTGACGTTTGGATTTTTGACAAAATTGAAACCTTAAGCTCTGTTCATAAACTGTATGAAGTGACCCTAAACCTGTGGAGATGTTCTTCTCCATGTAGAGGTCCCTAAGAAAATTAGGAAAAATGGCAAGGGGCATTAGTGAAAAAAAGTCTCCCATCTTAGCCCCTAAAATCCTTAGAGTTGTTCTGTCCTGTGTTTCCTTTTATTCTTTGAGCCATCTCACAGATGGCTTAAACTGTGACTCAAAACAGAAATGTACTGACAATACATCACCTGCCCATGCTGTCTTTCTTCTTAGTTCTTTGAGTCATCTGATCTTTTCCTTAATCACCTCTTCTTATTCATCTCAGTTGGTATTAGTCAAGTAAAAATTCACATTTTCTGAACAAAAGGAGCAATGATGAAAAAAATACAAAATGTTTTGAGGAATTACTTTATGGCCCTTTGATGGGTTATTATAACTCACAGTTTTAGTACTATGGACATCTTTTGCTTCTGTAGTATAAATAAATAACTATCCATTTAATATGTAATTAAGTAGCCCTAATTTTGTATTGTATTGAAAAGATTACTGTACCTTTATGTTCATTGAGAATATATACAATTAATATTTTTAGCTTGTTTTCAAGATAAGTATTTTAGACACAGACTTTTTAATGTTTGTTTATTTTTGAGAGAGTGAGAGCGCATGAAAGGGGGAGGGTCAGAGAAAGAGAGTGAGACACAGAATCCAAAGAAGGCTCCAGGCTCTTAGCTGTCTGCACATAGCCAGACATAGGGTTTGAGATCATGACCTGAGCTGAAGTCGGACACTTACCTGACTGAGCCACCCAAGCACCCCTAGATGCAGACTTTTAATTGAGGTTTAAATGTATACAATGAGGGAAAAATTATGTAAGCCTGAAGTGTACAGCTCAATTGATAGCCACAGTATTGTATATATGTGTATATATATGTAAATATATGTATATGTGTATATATGTGTATATATGTGTGTGTGTATATATACACGTGGGAGTGGTTAAAATGACACATACACATATGCCACGTAGGTAGGGGGTAGATAGGTAGATAGACACATGCATACATACCTACATGTAGTTAAATACTACCCAGATCAAGACATAAAGCATTTCTATTACCCTGAAAGATTCCCTGTGTCTCTTCACAGCCAATACCAGCATTGAGCCACATCTCACCTCTCTGCCAAGAAATAACCATTGTTTTTATTTGTGTCATTGTTGATTATTTTTGCCTATTTTTGAACAACACATAAATGAAATCATATAGTAGTTGTTTCTTGTGTCTGTCTTTATTCATTCAATATTATTTCTGTAATAGCCACCCAAATTGTTGTATGAAGCAGCAATTTAGTTTTGTCATGGCTGTATAGTATTTCACTGGACGAATATAACAAAACATGTTGATTCAGTGCACTATTAATGGACATTTGGCTGTTTTGAGTTTCTTATCCTTATAAATAAAGTGGCTTAAGTATTCATGTGTAGATCTTTGTGCAAAGATGTTTTCATTTATCTTAGGTTTATGCCTTAAAGTGGAATTTCTGGGATTACAGAGTACTATATGTATAGCGTTAGTGGATACTGGCAAATACTCTTAGAAAGTGGTTGTGGCAGTTTACGTTCCCACCAGTGTATAAGAATTCCAGTTACTGAAAGTCCTTCCCAACACTAGCTATTGTATTTTTAATTTTAGCTATTCTGATACATGTGTAGTGTTATATATTCTTAAGTGTGTTTGATGTGAATTTCCATGATTTATGATGGTAAATTCAAAAATTATAATTAAAATTTTGTGTTTATAGAACAGTTTACTAGCTTCTTTGGCAAATGTAATTATTTATAAAATGATACTAAATCTTTACCCCTTGAATTAATTGGGAGTTAAGAACTGGGTTTAAATTTTAGGTCTGCCAAACCATAAGAGACTCTTAAATACAGATAACAAACTGAGGGTTGCTGGAGAGGGGTTTGGGTGGTGGGATGGGTTAAATGGGTGATGAACATAAAGTAGGGCACAGTTTGGGATGAGCACTGGGTGTCATAAGTAAGAGATGAGTCACTGGGTTCTACTCCCAAAGCCAAGACTACCCTGTATATTAACATGTTAACTAACTTGAATAAAAAGAAATTTTTTTAGGCCTGCCAGTAGGCAATAGAGTGATTTGGACATTTAATTTTTCCTATCTGGCACTTCAGTTCATTTGTATTGTTGTCTGTTTGCTTTTATTTCTAACATACATGGCTTAATAAATATTTTATTCTCTGTTGTAATCTGAGTCTTTGCCGGGCAAGTCCCGTAACTCTATATTCAATGGAGAAAAGATATACATAGTCAAAATCAGCATTGTGTTCTAGGTCATTTTTCATCCAGTTTTCAGATTTCTTTGGATTCATTTAGATTTTTAATGCTTTTCCTTAGCAGAATCTGAAAGGGCCTAGTGGTTGAAGTTACTGGTTATCCCTTGAAGGATTTCTTCCTGTATGATTCCCAGAGAAATTCCTTCTTAGTCCTCTTGGCAGAAGGATTTTGCTCTGGGGCCACTAGCTTTCTCTCCTTTGTGCTGACACAGCTCTCCTGTCAGATCTAAAACTTAAAAAGCATTATGCCCTCCCCAAAGTAAATGGCTTCCCATCTGCTTCAGGGAAGTTCCATAAACTCAGGAGTGTTGGATGGAGCACCTCATGTGGTCACAATAACCAAAACAAATTCGTGTTACATGTAATGAGGGCAGTTGTGATCCAAATCAGTGTCTTTACTCTTAGCCATATTTGAACCAGACCTAAACAGTGAAACATTGTTTTTCTTCTTGGTCTAAACTCCACCCAGTGGTAATTGATAGCCTAAGCCATACATTTTGTTTTTATTTTAAGATTTCCTTAATTTTACATAAATAAATTATTCTATTGGAGACTGAACTTTGTAGTGCCAAAATTTTGCCAAATATAATGTTAGCCTCTTTTAAAAACAGGATTAACTCTTCAAAGCCATTAGATTTCTAGTAACTATAGCGAAGTGTTTATTTAAACGGAAATGAACCCAGTGCATCATTGATTTATAAACTTTGCAAACATTAAATTGTGCCAGGGACTATGGTATTCTTAAGAACACAGTAGTAAAACAAAGAAAAGTTCTCATTCTCTGCTCAGATGGGCTTAAAATCTTGTAGTGTCATTGGGCAAAGTTCTTAAATTTCTAGTCTTATGTATCTAAGAATCTGAACTAAGTGGATTATGAACGTATCAAATTTTTAAAATTACTAGACATTCAAAAGGACATTTTACCTACAGTTAGAAGAGTTAGTTCAAGCATTCCTTTACAAATATATGTATTTTTTTACTTCTTCTGATTTAACTGGCATTGTTCTAAGCCTTGAGATGTCAGGAGTGAATGAGATGGATGTGCCTATTGTCTGCTAGAGTTTCTGACCTGTTTGTTATCTTAGATTCTGCTAGAAAATTCTATACTTCATGGTTAAGAGCCTGTCACTACTAAATTATTGAAAATAGAGTTTTAATCTTCATATAAATGCTCTTGCTCTTATGTAGCCTCCTCTTAGGGAACACAGGACATGGTTGTTCTTTCCCTCCTCACACTACAAACATGGAGTATGTGTGTACATGCACACACACATGTATGTGTGTACTTGAGAATGTCTGGTTTGTTAAGAATGTACACAGCTTGGAGGGAAAAGAAATGAGAGAATAATTCAGACATCTTTAAATCTGCTTATCCAGTTTGCTCATTAGTTACAACCTGCTTTCCTTTATCCCATGCAAACCAGTAAAGGTTATGTTTAGACTATTAGATTTAGAATCTCGATCAAAGAAGACTCTGAATTTGGATTCCAGCTCTGCCATTCAATTCCTAAGTGACTTTGGTCAACTTATATCTTACCTCTGGGTTTCAATAATCTCATCTGTAAAATGGGAATAGTAATCCCATTGTCTGCTTAATCCCGTTATTTAAAAAATGGGTTACACAGAAGATTCAGGACAGTTCTTCAAATTATGTAACATGAGCCATTTTCTATATAATAAAAGGAGCTGGTACTAGAGTTACATCTCTCTGTCATGGCCATTAACAACTGGGAGGAGTGAGAAAGAAGGAGTGCTGCTTGTTCACAGCCCCTTGTATACCATAACCTTCTCTGTTCTTTGCCCATCATATTATGTTCAGAACACCATTTGCCAGGGATCAAATCATGATTTGAATAAAGGTATATCTGGATGGCTAGGCACATAGGCATTCAGAATACACCTTCTTTCGTAGAGGGAAGACTTCCACAAAGTTCTCTCAACCCATGCTTCACTCCACCATGAAATATTTTCTTTCCCTATGGGTCAGTTACCCAATTTCACTAATGAGGCATGGATAAACTAAATGATATAACTTAGACACAAATGATAATTAGATGGCACAGCCAGAATTAGAACCCATTAGACAGTTTTACTTCCAGGTCTATTCTCATGTCATTGAACAAGTCTTGTGCTCCCTTTCAGCTCAGATTTCTTATTTACAGTGATGTTTTGTTGCCTGAAATTTCACAGATTAGCGCTTTGACCCCTTAAAAACAGGTTTAAGTGATTGGAGCACTCTTGCCTCTGTGCACTTTTATTTTTATTTAATCAAATCATCAAAAATTTCTATCGTTAGCAGGAAAAGGCAGAGACCAAGAACTTTCACAACAGCTCTGACCACTCAATTATTCATCAGAATTGGTAGTGTTTTATGGAAGCAAAATATACACAGCCAGAATTATACATGATTTAACAAGGAGCTGCTCTATATATGAGCATGAGAATAATATAACTGTTATTACAAAAGCAAAAAAAAATTGAATCTAACTTTATAATTCTGGTCTTCCCACAAGAAATTTTATTTTCCACATGCACTGAGTCTGTATACATCTATGTTAATCAGTACTAAATTCATCTGCATACAACAGAAAATCCAAAAATAGTAGTGATTAAACGCAACAAAATCCATCCCCTCGAATAAATGAAGTCCACAATTAGGCAGTCATGTGTGATCATTGGAACCATGGAGTCACTAGAAAACCTTCCTTTTCCTTTTTCTCCTCCATCATCGTCAGTGTGTGGCTTCCATCCTCAGACTCACCGCATGGGTAAAGTGGCTGCTAGAATTTCTGTCCTCATGTCATTATTCCAGGCAGCAGGAAGGAGCGTGATGGGAAAGGCAGAAGGGTATGGTCAAGCTTCCTCTTTTCCTTGTAAAGGAGTTCTGCAGCCCTACATAACTTCTGCTCATGTCACTTTGGCTAGATCTTATTCTCATGACCACCCTTAGTTGTGTAGAGATAAAATCTCCTATTTTGTTTGGGTTTTGTTTTGTTTCATTCTGCTCCATTTTATTTTGTTGTTCTATTTTATTTTTAAGCTGGCTGTGTTGACTCAGCAACTGTTGGAAGATTTCATATAGTAAGGAAGAAGGCAAATGGTTATTGGATAGACAGTTAACAGTGTCTGTCACAGTGTTTAAACCATGCACAGAGTAAATATCAAATGTGAGAATTACTTAGGGACCAACGATGAATGAGCTTCCAAATAATCCACATAAAAGATTAGTCCATATACATTAAAAGTCCTCCACAATAACTGTAAGAAAGTCTTTGAGTGCTTTTTTACATTATTATTTTCTAATAAAGCGATGCATGATTGTTATAACAAAGAATGTAGAAGTCTGAAGAAAAATTTAAAGGTTTCCCCTGTTCCTCTGTGCCATTCTGTTTCCCTCCCCACTTCTCAGAAAACCCAAATTAGCAGTTATATGTATTTCCCCACATTTCCCTAGAATTATACAAATAAATGATACATACATGTGTTGTTAGTAATCAAAAATGAATCATACTATATAAATTATTCTGCAGCTTAATTTTAACCTAACGTAAGTTTATTTGATATCAAATCTCTTTTTAATAGCTGCTTAAAATTGGTGAATGTAGGTATATCATAACTGTTTCGCAAAGAAAGCAACTTTTACTGATTAAAATGTCCACAAGGGCAGCAAAATCAGCCTATTGAAGTACTGAAGATGGCTAAAAATGCAAAGGCCTGAGTGACTGAGAGAAACTTAGAGGTTTCGGGGTGAGCACATTTAAGTGGGTTAACATGGCTAGCTAGAACACTGAGCATGCTCAGAATGTGACTGCAGCGTTTTCAGGACAGAGGGGGCATTTTTTAGCATAGCTTCTTATGCCACAAAATTCCTAAAGATGCCATTTATGCCATCTGGCTTTGTTGTTCCTCTCAATCAGCATCTTTAGACATCTCTACTATTCATTTTTTTCCCCTTTTCAAAACATCTCTCCAATCAAATCACCATCTAATTTCTAAATTCTGAAAAAAAATTTTAATTAAAAACTTTGCCCTTAAAGCACTTTTTCTAGTTATTAGTCCACCTGTTGATAACATTTCTTTTTGTTTCGAATTTGCATTTATTTTTATTCTTTCTGTCGTGTACATTTTTCTTGTCTTTATTCTGCCCTCTTGTCCTTTTATCTTCTTTTCCTGTGATCAGCTGTCTCATCCTCTTAGGCTTATCAGATAATTACTTATTGAAACACAAACCAACATATATACTTTAATCTTGAATTGGCATAACTATTTAAAATTTTACATGAAAGGAGCTATGTTAGAATCTGAATCTCCAAGTTTGCTCTTCCTCCTTCCAGAATTTGAGCCTTATGCCATGAACTTCTCTCCTTCCCAATGTTGCACTATCCAGCTTATGAGACCTGACTGTACATTATGAATGTGATGGATAAATAAGGAAAGTAAGCTGAAAAAGTGAAGGCAACTTCACTCCACTTTTCCTGGAACACAAACATGTAGCTATCTTGGCACGTAGGGCAGATATGATCCAGAAACTCACACCAGGGTACTCATGTTCTTCTGACTGATCCAAGCTTGAGGGATTTTCTGTCCCCTTGTTTTGCGGGATAGAACTGAGTAAATAGGGTCGCAGTGTAGATGTTCACTGGGAAGGGCTCACATACTCATCCATTCCTTCATCAGTTTCCTCATATACTCATTTTACAGTGAGGTTAATTGGAGATGCCAGGAAATTGGGAAGCTGGTTCTGAAAGCATCTGACATCCTAACTGCATATTTCCCTTGGTCTTTTGTGTCACTTTTACTAAGGAACATGATCTGTATTCACACAATATTCAATGACCATATTAATAAGAACATAGATCTCAGAGTTTCTCCTATGTGGAAATAATTTGCATGTGAGGAATTCAAAGCAATAAAGTGATTTGCCTCAAGTTATGTTATCGTTGTCAAAGCCAGAACTGAGTGTTTGTCTGTTATACAGGCTTCTTTCGCTCTGCCCTTGGCCCAAGGCTGCTTCAGATAATGAACTGTTGGGTATAGTTAACCTTCCATTATTTCCGAGAAAAAGAAGTCACCTAACATTTTATGGAATGCTGATCACATACCTGACACCACCGTACAAGTTGTTTCATGCTTTCATTTACTCCATGGATATTTTCCCAAAACCATTTTTTGTCGGCATCTTTGTCAGCACTGTGGACGAACCAAAAAAGATCTCTGTCCTCATGGGGCTTACCTCTGGATGTGTGTATGAATGTGTGTTTGTGTGTGTTGGCAAAGGATAAAGGTGGGAAGTGAAAGGGAAACAGTAAGTCAACATAGAAAATTACGTATATGATAGTGTTTTATGTTAAATGTGCATCAGAGGTGGGATGAACTGTGCAGAAGATGAGGGAAGAAAGCTACTTTATGTTATCTCCATTTAATCCCAATACTATTCTGTGAGCTAGGCATTCATGTTAGCCCTAATACACACATAAAGAAATTAAGGCTCAGAGTAGTTCCACAGCTTCTCCAGGTTCAGGCATCTTGGGTGGGAAAGAGCCACCATTAAACCCAGCTCTGCCTCACGGATCGAGTTGTGCTCTAGTCACTGTGCCCAGTCACTTCTAAATGAGAATGTTGCAGCAAAAAAAAAAAAAAAAAAAAAAAAATTGCTTGAAATTATATTCAATGTAGACATTGTTAAATGAGAAAATACAGTGGATAAGTGCTGATGATTAAGTATCTAAACAGTTGAGCTGAGTCATTTAATGAGGTTAAGGCTCATGGCATCAGAACTGGAGTTATTTAATCTTGAGAATGGCAGAAAAGAGGCCAAATAAAAATGCATTATTGGATTCATCTGGTTCCTGTTTTCAAGGATCAAAGAATCAGCTAATAGGTACACAATTCTTGAAGCCATGCTGTTCAAAGCAAGGTCAGCAGCTAATAAAGACATCTGTTTAATCATGGATCAGACCACTTGACTTTGCTTGTATCACTGATACCAACCATTATTGGCTGTGAACCAGTGGAGTACTCAGTACAGCATGAAATAAGAGAGGTTTGGGGATCTGTTAATTGCATCTTGTCTCAGCTGTAGGAGGTATACTACTCCAAAATCAGTCCCTTCCAATTATTCCAGGTTGCAGCTGGCATGGTGAACCCTGTGTTGTTTTCGCCCAATGAAAGAGTCTAATTTTATCACAGAATCACAGGACTGGCAAGACCTTGAGAGGTCAGCAGAGGCTTTCAGGCAAGACTGCACTGAGTGAATATATCTAATCCTATTTTAAACCATCTCCAGAGGGGAGATTCCATGATTTCTCTTGAAAGCCAATGCCAGTGTTAAGCAGCCTTTTCTGTAGCCAGTCTAATATCCCTAGTAATTTATTTTAAATTCACCTTTCACTGCATTCATAATGCTAGTTTATACTGCGTTCATTTTCTTAAAAAGTTTTCTCTGTTCATTTTTTTTTAAAGTATTGTTGAAAGCTACAATAACCTATTTTTGGATAAAAGGATTAATAGTTTGTAATTGTTGTCTAATGGGATATTATATTAGTTATTTAGCTTACTATGCCTGAATTGCATACCTATTCCGTAGTAACTTTAAAATTCCAAAGAAATAAAAATGAGGTAGCGGTACTTCCCAGCTAGTTCTCATTTTCCCCCGCTGGCTCCCCTGTTCCAGGCACACTGGCCATTTTATATCTTCAAATGTGCTGACTTTATTTATTTATTACTCAGGGCTTTTAAACTTGCCATTTGATCCCTTGCCTGTAACAGTCTTTACTAAATCTTCCTGTGGAGGGGCCCTCCTGCTAAGAAGCACCATCCCTCATTGACCTATTTAAAGTTTCCTCAGATCACATATCCATCTCTAAAATTATCTTATTTATTCCCTAGTTGGCACGTTTGCTCTTTGTTTCCTTCCGTGGGAGAATGTAAGAACTATGTGACAGGGGACCTCCCCTGCCTTTTTTTTTTTTTTTTTTTTAAAACCATTGCAATCCCAGTGTCTAAACATTTGTGTGCTAGGGAATCAGTTAGTATTTGCTCAACAAATGAATGAAAGGATACTTGAGTAGCCATAGACTAGAATGTTCAGTTCTCTGTTTCCTCAGAGAGCTCACAGAGTGGTATGTTCTGAGAGGATGTACAGCATGCCTAAATGAACTTTACAGTTGGACGTGTGGCTTCAAGTCCCAGATCCAGCATTTACCGACTGTGAAGCCTTGGTCAAGTTCCTTAAATTCTAAGCTTTAGTTTATAATTTGTGACATGGTGACAATAAAACTTACCTCATTTGTCAGTTATTAGGACAAATGGGTTATTTTATAAAAATGGGAAATTTTATATGGTACATATTTAATTTATTTTTTAAAACAATATTTATCAAGTACTGATCTAGGAGCCAAGGATACAGCAGTGACCAAGCAATAAAAATTCTCTACCCTCAAAGTTTACCTTTTGGTGCACATAAATACATGTTTTCTAATTATTTTAAGAATAAGAACAGGCTTCTGAATTTAACCTTCAATGAGATTAAATTTGAACTCTGGTTAATGTCTAGTGCTGGTTCTTTGTTCAATAGTCAACCTGTATTTACTGTGTGCCTCTTATCTAGTGTAAGTATCCAGTGAATAATGGTTTATTAAGAGGGTTCTTAGAGATGTCTACTCCTAAGAGGATGTGGCCAGTCTTGCCTACAAATGGATTGCTTGTGTTTGAAACCTATAATTCATAAAAAGATCTATGAAGAGGTGCAAAAATATCTTTGTTTAATAGCTCTTGTATATATTTCAGAAAGACTATGAACCCCCAAACAAGTGCATGTTTCTTTGGACTCTTGATAAGTAAAGACTTTTTTTTTTTCCTGGAAATATGGGTGTTTATTGCTTTTAACCAGGGAGCCATGTGCGTTGGTGAAAGAGTCAGGACCTTGATTTTTCTGAAAAAGCTATTTTTTTCTACCAGTAATCCATTCTCATTTTAGGATGTTTAAAAGAAGAGATAATCAGCCAAGAGAAATTGTTACTAATATAATAATAGGTTTAGGTAAAAATGTAATTCACATGTTTTTAAATATAGTTCGTATTTCCAAAATTTACCTTTATATTTACCAGTATGTCATGACCATATTCTGTCAGCAGATCTAGATTCCCCATTATTTTTAATGGCAGTGCTAGGTCTGTGTATTAATGTATCATAATATATTTGTTCAACTCTTAGTTGTTGAACGTTTAAGATGCTTCCAGTTGTTTTCCTCTTCTAGACAATATCATGATAAACATACCTACAAAGCACTTTGTATAGTTGTTTAATTTCCTTGGGATATATTTGTAAAAAATTGCTGTACCTACTAAAGAAGGTATATATCAATGGATTTGATTATATGAAACCTAATTTTTAACATATGTAATAATAAAATCGAAAATGTGAAGTTTGGGGAATACTTATAACACATACAAAGTATAAGAGCATGATTCCTCGAACCAGCCTGCCAGAGTTTGACTTCCTTACTTAACTAGCTTGATGAGCTGGGGAAAATACTCTCTCTGTGTACTCAGATTTCCTCATCTCTACAAACAGGATAATAACTGGACTCATCTCTAAAGATAATTGTGAGGACCAAGTATAAAATGCCCCAAACTGTGACACTGAGGAATGGATAAGTAAAAGTTTGTTCAAAAACGTGTCAGTCATGCATAACATCCTAAATGTCTCGAGAGTTTATCAGTAAGATTAACACTAATGGCTAAGTGATAAGCTAAGCAGTGTAACAGAGCATTCACATAAGAAGTAACACAAATAGCTAGTTAATAAATTAAAAGATGGTTGTTATATCTAAAATAAAAACATGGACATTAAATCCATAAAATACATTTTGGCCTATCTATATAATAACTATTAAATAAATACTAAGATCCCCTGAATTCTGATAGCAATGTAAATTTGATTATAATACATATGGAAAATAATTTGGACAAACATATTAAAAGCTTCAAAAAGTGTTCATGCCTTTGACTCTCTAATTCTACTTCTGAGGATATAGTTAAGGATATTTTCCAAAAGTGCACAAAGCCATACCACAAAGATATGTATCAAGATGGCACATCTAATGTGGGTCCAAAAAAGCAAAGTGGTTAACAGGTGAGCTTAGGAGTCAAATCAAACCTGTCTTTAAATCCTGCCTCCTCCATAAAGTAGCAATACTGAAATCTTTGATCTGAAATTGAAGACAATTCACCTAACATTATAGATTTGTTATAAAAGGACATGGTAACTGACATAGCAAAGTCTCAAGAAATGATGGCAAATTGCAACTATAAATAAAGCCCCAAATTTTAGATAACCTAAATAATTGTAGTTTTTCAGATGTTTTCAAGACATATATAGGTAGTGTCATTGAACATTCTAATGGATATAATATTTAGTTAAAAGTGAGATTCAATAGTGAATCTATTAGATAACCTTAACACTGTAAAAGTATACAAGGTAAATGATGTCAAATAGTAGTTATTTCCGTATGATAGAGTGAAAATTTTATTATTTTATTCTTTCTCTACATATATAGTGCAAATTTTTATTATTTCTAAGTTTTCAGTCGTATGTATATGGTACAGAAAATTATTTGTACTAATAATAAAAATTAATTGCTATCTAAAATGTTTTTTTATAGTATACAAATGAGAACATAGTAAGTATAATTGGTTAAGAATCTGGTTTTTCCTCTTATTCTAACACCTTCCCATCAAATATTAATCATCAAATATTTATTATATGTTCCCAGGCACTTAGCACTTGCTAGAGGCAAGCCTGAAAAAGTCCCTATCCTCAAGGTATTGACACACAAGAGATCATCTCACCAATAACATCCCCTTAGGTATAAAAAAATGTACACATGTTCACAGTGACTTTTGAATAAATTCAAAATGATGGTAAATATTTCAGAGTAGACTTTTATGCCCATTGGTATACGTAGATGAAATTCATTAAAAGTTTGACATTTAAAAATGATAACAGACCAGAAGCATTTTTTGCAAGAAAACAAAAAACTCAAAGTTTGAAGTTACTATAAAGTTTTTGTCATCAAGTTCAGAAGTGTATACAATGGGCAAAGTGAGAGGTTTTGTTTTGTTTTTCATTTTTTTGATGTTTATTAAACAGAGACAGAGACAGGGAGACAGATTGTGAGCACGGGAGGG